TGATAGCTGAGCTACAATCTTCCAGGTAGTGAGGGAGGCCCCTTTGGGATGGGAGCCACTGCCCACTCCGATTCTCCACGGCTTTCTTTATGAGACCCAAACAGCAGGATTGGGTGACAGAAAGTCACAAAGCGGGGACAGCAGGGGCTGCCTTGGGTGCCTAGGGCTGGGCCTGAGGTTTCAGAAGGTTGGGGGGATGTTAAATCTTGAATGAGGGGTGAGGGGGGATGTTTTGCCTAGCAGATGGGGAATGGAGCTTGCTGCAGACACAGGAGAAGGTGAGGCGAGGGAACTAGTCACCAGAGACAGGGCGCTGTAACAAAGGGGCCCAGTTGGGAGACTCAGAGGGAGACATACTGGCCTTCCCTTGAGGGATCACTTTCAGTGCTGTCTTCAGGACACAGGACTCCACCCAGACCAGCAGCCTGTCTACCTAGTGCTAGCAGGAACACCTCAGGAGGAGGCCCTCAAGCCCTGATCCACGAGGCTGTGGGGACCGTTCACTTTCCCTCACTTCACTCTCAGGCCACACCCGGCACTTCTACACCCTGGGGATGCAATTACTAGCAGTACGATATCTCTGGGGCTCACGGTCTTGTGGGGGTGCAGACTCCCAAACCAGGACTGCTGGCCCAGAATAACTGAGAGAGGGCGTGGGAGCAGCTAACCCCCTGGGAGAGGGGGCTGGGGAGAACTTTCTGGCAGATCCAATATCTGAGCCAGCTCTTACAAGATGAGAGGGAAAGAGGCAAAGTTCAGTAAGCAGAAGAGCAGACTCATATTCCAGTATAGAGATTTCAGGTGCTAAGCGCAGAGGCATGTACCGTGTGACAAAAGCGTTTAGAGGTAGAGGTCTGGACCTTGGAGCACACTGTAGGGTTCACACCCCAGCTCTGCTGCCTCTAGCTGCGTGGCCTCTAGCAGGTCACTTAACCACCGTGTGCCTGTGCCTCAGTTTTCTTACCCATAATCGGAGGACACAGGTAATAGGGATAACCATTAATTTTATAGGATGAATAGATCAATATTTGTAGAAAATTTAGAGGCATGTAGTGACTGAGTGAGGTATGCTTTTGTCAAATAAAATAGACAACATAGGAAATAGCTGGGGGGCTATTGGCAGTGGGGAGCCAGCGATACTAATGAGTGCCTTCAAATGAGTTCTGGGGGCAGCAGGAGGACGGCTGGAGAAGAGGTGCTAAAAGGATGAGTCAGTTTCTCCTGCTCATTCCACATGCCTCTGTCCCAGACCTGGCAGGGGCCAGGCCCTGAGACAAGGCCCCAGGACATGAAGGAGAAGAGACTGGGGACATTTCCTTAAGGAGCTCAGTTAGAATCCTGGCCCAGCCCCCAAGCATCTGAGGCAGCCAGCCCTTCTTCTCCCCTCCTTGCTCACCCCCACCTTGTGACTTTGTGTCACCCAATCCTGCTGTCCAGGTTTCATAAGGGAAACCATGGAGAACATGGAGTGGGCGATGGCTCCCAGCCCAGAAAGGGGCCTTCAGCTGTCGTTCCGATCTCCTGGAAAGGCGAGGAAGGTAGCCTCGAAAACAAAGGCTGTTACCATCCCCTTGTACCCAACAAAGAGAAGTGGCCTGGGCCTGTGGCCAGCCCTTGGGTGCGGTACCCAGGGGAGGAAGCCCTTCTCTTCCCTGAAGGCTGTGGCCCCTCCTCCACGGAATTCCCTGTTCCTTCCTCCTGAGCTGAAGAGCAGTAAACACCGACTGTCCGGCCTGTGCTGGTGTGCCCAGTGGGCCAAGGCCCAGCCCCTAGGAACTTGTGGTCTGATGGAGGAAGGAGGTGTGGGCCTGGAAGAAGCAGGCTTTCCGGGGCTCCGGTGGCACAGCAGCCAAATGGCTGATGTGAAGGCCTGGGCGTGCCTCGGCTGGTGGCTGGAGCAGCTGCAAGCAGTGGAGCTTTTGAGAGCCTGTGGGGAGGGAGGCCCGGATTCAGAAAGAAGGTGTGCCGGGTATGGGGCACCATTTTTATTTGAGCACCTGACAGACAAGCTAGTCAAACTTGGGTATCTGGCAGACATTTTCTCAAAAATGAATGAAGAGAGCCTGTCACTTGGAAAATAGTGAGCCGGACAGCCAGACTGGACAGAAGATGGTTGGCTTGGTTAGAACCAAGGGCTTGTGTCATGGCCAAGGAGACTGAGTTAGTACCACATCGCACAAGCCACTTTGGCCAGGCTGGAGGATTTAGAACCCACTGTGAATCAGCAGGTAGTAAAGTATGGTCCTCGAGTGTTTTGGGGGTTGATGAGGGAACAAGGTGTACAGAACTGTTCTGGTTCGCAATTGGCTGTCCTAGGTGCACCTGACCTGATGTTGCGGAAGCCGTGGGGGTGCAGCTGCTGGAGTCTTCACACCCATCCCAACTCCCCCCCCACACACACACACACACATATCACTGCACCCACTCCATACTCTCAGGTTTTGTTTTTTTTTTAAAGTAGTAAAAATCGCCGGGTGCAATGGCACATACCTGTAATCTCAGCAACTTGGGAGGTTGAGGCAGGACAGTTGCAAATTCGAGGCCAGCCTCAGCCACTCAGTGAGACCCCGTTTCAAAATACAAGTGGCCGGGACGAAGCTCAGTGGTAAAGTACCCCTGGACTCAATCCCCAGTGCCACATAACAAAGAAGTTAAAATTACTAGCTTTATTAAGTCAAGACCCTGAGCGTTTGTCTTTTTAATATCCTGGGTGAGGAACTATGGAGCAAGCAAGACGAGGCACTTTTGCTGCTGCCGAGCCTTGGTGAGGAGGAGCGCTAGGCCGCCACGTCGCAAGCTGCACCCATCACTTTTTTTTAAGGAGCACCATTTTTACTTGAGCACCTGACAGACAAGCTAGTCAAACTTGGGTATGTGGCAGACATTTTCTCAAAAATGAATGAAGTGAGCCTGTCACTTGGAAAATAGTATCAGTATTTGTTGCCAGTGAGAAAATTTGAGCTTTTGAACAGAGATGAGGTTTTTGGAAACCTTGTATCCACCTTCTAGATACAGATAACTTCCCAGGACTTAAAACTTTATGATGAGATCAGTAGTGATAGCAAATGTGATCTTTTGATATTGTCTGATGAAATGTGTCAACATCTGGAAGACCTGCATAGCCCAGGAAATTAATATTCTCCAGTGACCACGCTTGATGTTACAAAGTTCACATTGCAAGATAGCCCAGGCCTGGTGGTGTGACCCATAGCCCCAGCCACTCTGGAGGAAGAGGCTGGAGGATAGCTTGAGCTCAGGAGTTCAAGACCAGCCTGGGCAACATTGTCTCAAACAAACAACCTGCAAGATAGTCCCAGAAAAAGTTCATTAATATGCTCTCAGATTCTACCCTTCAACAAACCTTTAGCAAACTATTACTTGTCATATTTGGTGTAGAAGCTAAGAAAAATGTTTGTAGCTACTGAAAAGGCTGGTAAACTATTCCTTCCTTTTCTAATTACACGTCAGTGTGAGTTCTCCTCTTGTGCTTCAACCAGAGCAACCTGTGGTAATAGACAGCTGCAGGAGTAGATGTTGCCCGAGAACCCAGCTGCCTTCTGGTAAGCCGACATGAGAAGAGGTTTGCAAAAACATGTAACAGTGCCACTCTTTTAGCTAATATTTTTGTTTTAGAAAGTATAGTTTATTTTCATAAGCATGTTATCAAGGTTAACATGTGATGAGATTCTTGTTTTGAAATGAGTTAATAAAATTTAAAACATTTCTCAGTTTTAACTCTGGATATGGTAAATTTTAATAGCTGCCCCCCCCCCCATCCCCGGCCCCCACAGGAAAAAAAAATTTTTTTAGAATCTTCAGTAATTTAAGAGTGGAAAGGGATCCAGAATCAGGACGTTTGCTGCCACTCTAGATCCTAGGGAGCCATAGCAGGACTGTGAACTAGAGGATGGCAGTCCAGGTAGGGTACGTGTGACACACCTGCCCTGTCCTGGGTGTTCTTTAGCTTGGCACAAGCAGGGGCGGTTCTGAAAGGCTTTCTTTGCAGTGCCAGAGGACACATGCTCTGGAATCCCCAGTCAGCCACCAGCACTTCTGGCCCCATATGTTCCTCAGGGACAGTAGGCCACCTGCAGGGAAACTGCTGTCTCCTGCATGATAATGCTGGTGAAGGAAGCTTTCCTAAGGCGTGAAACACTTCTCAGATATTTATTTTTGTGGTTGTTTTGTCTAGAGCTTAACTGCCTCGGACCCCAGAAAACCTGTGCATGGGACCCAGCACTGTTTTCTTGAAGGGGACTCTTGTTGGATCCCCACCTCTCCCTCCTTAGTTAGACCTTGTGCCTGAGCAGGCTGAGGCATGGCCTGGGCTCTGCAGGGAGGAGAGGCTATTGATGGGGCTGTCACGCAGCCTGGCTTCCAGACTTGTGGAAGAGGAGCCAGGAGGCAAGGCTCGTGCGCCTTTTGTGCCACCGGGTGCCACCCGCCTACCCACCGCCTGCCTGCTGCAGGGCCTGGAGCCGCCGCTGGGAGAGGAAGTGCAGTCGGTTACCAATTGGGCTATTTTCATAACGGCTGTCACAGGCTAGGGGGAGGAGGGTGGCGAGGGGGAGGGGGCAGAGAAGCAGCCACTGCAGCCCGAGCTCCAAACTAGGACTTGCTCAGCGGAGGCCGGTGGCCCAGAGCCGGAGCCGGAGCCAAAGCCGCCCGGAGACCCCAGCCCCCACCTGCTTGCCCACCTCCCGCCTGCCACCCTGCCTTCCAGATCAGGTCAACGGGGCTCCTCTGACCCTTCCTTGCCTTCTGATCCCTCCCTTCTGTATTATCTGGGTGGGTCTGGAAGGGGTGGATCCGCACAGGCCCAGGCACCACTGTTCCTAGAGGAGGGACTTACCCTGTCAGGTCCCCAAAGCTGATGGAGAAGGAGAAGGTCTGGTCAAGCTCACACTCCTGCCCAAGCCAGGGTGGGCCCTGGAAGGTAAACGTCCTACTGGCCTGGGCCTCTCTTACTGTCCAGCCCTGGCCCCCTGGATCCCCGTGTGCGTTTGTGTTCCTTGTTTTGTTTTCTGCAGGGTCCTTTTAGTGAATGGAGGCCTGGGGAAGTCAGGACCCTGCCTCTCCCACTCCTGGGGATGTGCGGGCTCCCTTCCAGCTCTCCCACCTCCTCCGCTCCTACCAGGGCTATGGGAGCCGAGCAGCCAGATGTGGCTTCTGGCCAGCAGCCCCCTGGGGAGGCAGCTGCAGGCCCTTTCTCTGGGGCTGCTGGAATAGGAGCATCATGCTCCATGCCTGGCTTCACTGAGCAGGGGACTAGGGGCCCTGGCCACAGCATGGAATGGCCACTTTAGCTGGATCCCACCGAGTTCCTGTGCCAGTTCCTCTGGAGGCAGAGGAGGCCCCAGGGATCAGCCTGATGCCAGAGCCAAGGGCACTCTTCACAGCACGAGCAGACGCCCAGGTGGCACAGGCTGCCAGGTTCTGTTCCTCATGTGGTGAGTGGTAGCCACCCAGGCATGCCTGCTTCCCATTCTGGGATTCCACCCCCGCTGTGGACAGGAGACCTATGAGGTGGCACAACCACAGGCTCTTGGTCTGTTTGGATGTGGGCCCCGCCATGCCCCTGCTCTGCCAGGTATCGTCTGGTACCTTATGTTCACCATTGCTTCAGAGCCACCCTGGGCCAACCTTGGGAACTAGGTGGCATGATCTCCATTTTACAGATGAGAAAATGGAGAATCAGACTAGTCAGCCACTCTAGGGTAGCAGTGGCAGATGCAGGGTTCCAATGTGCTTGGTCCTTCTCACTTGCTGCTGGCGTTAGGAGGTGGCGTTAGGAGGCCGGGATCCTCCCTGGCTGGAAGCTGAAGCACTGGGCCCCCCACCCCCGGCCCCACTGCGCCTGCCTCAGCCCCACCGTTGCAGCCTCAGTCATCTTGAGCGCATGGTCAGACACCACCGCACCTGTCCCCAGGCGTCCTTGTGTTCCCACTGGCCTCCCATCGTCAGGGCAGGGCTGGAGGTGGACAGGGGGCCCCATGAACCCTTTCCCTTCTTGTCTCCTTGGATGTGGCAGGTTTCTTCCAGGGTCCGGCAGGAAGCCAAGGGGCAGTCACTTTGCTGTGCTCTCAGTGTCAGAACCCTGTGGGGCTTCCTGCAGTGACCTTTATGTGTCCTGTGTGGTGTGTCTGAGGTGAGAAGAAGCTGCTGCTGGGGGCTGCGCCATGGGAGAGGCTCAGGCCCAGGCAGGGTTTCCAACAGGTCCAGGCTGGGCTTCTGGTGAGACCCAGAAGAAGCCTCTGCAGAGATAGGAAGTAAGGAGTCAGGCGACTGCTGACCAGAGGACAGAGGTTTCTATGGAGACCAGAGGAACAGGAAGCATGGGACCTGGGGGAGGGGAGAGTGGGAGCCCAGAGGTGTGGGTGCCTAGCAGGAGAGCTTGTCATAAACCCTGAGCCAGTCTCATGGTCTCCTCGGACAGACAGGGAAACTGAGGCTTGTGGCACGTGGTCGCGCAGTGCCGGCGCTGCCTGGCCTGCCTGGAGCCCCTCTTAGGCCTGCACCACTGGGTAGCTGAGGACTCTGCACACATGGGACCTGGCCTCCTGGCAGCATGTGGGGCTGGGTTCTTTAGGAGCACCTGTAAACTGTCTCCATGTTGTGATGGGGGTTCAGGCCACCTCTGCCTCCTGGCCCCTGTCATTAGTACAGGTCTGGGACAGCGAGCAGGGCTGGCCCTTACCACCACCCAGGGAGCACAGCAGCACCTCCCCCACCCACACTGTGGCCTTTTGTTTTCTGGGTGACACTAGCATCAGGCGGTGTGTCCGGGTGACTAATCTGCTCCAGGCTGGGCAGCTGTCACAGGGCAGCCTGGGCAGACGGGTGGGGAAAGCTGACACCCTGGGGAGTGCCGGCAAGCCAGTGTCCTGGCAGCGGTGGTGGCTAGGCCTTCAGGAGCCTTCCCAGGACACAAAGCAGACCCCAGATCAGGCAGACCTGGGCACAGGTCCCAGCTCTGCCGCTGGCTGACTGGGTGACCGTGGGCATGTTACTGCACCTCTTCAAGCCATTTCCCTCATCTTGCGAAGGAGCTGCTGGTCCTGCTTCCTTCCCGGGGCTGCAGTAGGAATCAGATGAGGCAAGGGCTTACCCAGAGCCTGTCACTGTCACAGGACCAGAGCACATAGAATAGCTAGTATATCATTCCCTTCCTAACCCCTGAGTCCCCACCTCAGGGGCCAAGAGGAAAGACCCGATGCTTGTCCATCTGGGGTGCAGGGCTCACCACCGGGTAGCGTAGGTTCCCACACTGGTGGCACGGGGATTGGCTGTGGACTTCGGGCGGCACCTCTCTGCACCTAGTTTCCTCGGCAGGAATATAGCACACAGTACCATTCCTCAGGGTTGCTGTGGTTTATAACATACGTGTGTCGAGGGCTCAGCACAGTGGGCAAGTGAGAGTTAGCTGAGATGATGCCAGTTTTAGGAAATCAGGGACACTGTGCCCAGGCCTGCTCTCCTATCCCTGGGCTCACCTCCTGCTCGGTCCATCTGGTTTGAGGGGACCGCCTTTGGGGGTGAGAGCTCTGTTTTGCACCCGCCTGTCTTGAACACTGCTTCTTCAGGCACAGCAGCCTCGCTCTCTGATGGCGCCGGAGCTCAGAGCCTTCTGCCCACTGGCCCTCTGCTATCACCCTGCATAGGTCGTGAAGCTGCCTGCGAGACCACAGGGCAGCAACAGGGCAAGGACCGGGAGGCACTAGGGGTGCAGCCATCCTCTCTGGCCCTGCTCCCTCCTGCCCACCGCTGGTCTAGGGCACACCCCCATATCCGACTTCAGCCAGACCCTCGGTGGGCAGAAGTCTTTTCTCCTGTCAGCCTAGGCAACATCATTTCATGGCTGTGACTTGCACTCTGTGGCTACTGGGGACTAGGCTGTCCTACCCCCATGGACTTCTCCCCAGGCTCAGGGCACAGGGCCCAGAAGATAGGGGTGCTCTGGAAGCATCACCACCCTGAGCTGTACCAACTTCACACCCTCCTCAAAAGTTAGGAGGCTGGGTATGGTGGTGCACACCTGTAATACAGCACCTGAGGAGGCTGAAGCAGGAGGATCACAAGTTCAAAGCTAGCCTTAGCAACTTAGGTGGACCCTGTCCCAAAATAGAAAATAAAAAGGCTGGGGATGTGGCTCTGTGGTTAAATACCCCTAGATTCAATCCTTGGTGCCCTCCCCCCCAAAAAAAAAAGAAGTGTGGGCACAAGAACCGGCTGCCAGTGGCCTGTGGAGGAGGGAAGGGCGGAGAGGAGGAGGGCTGGCAAAAGGAGCCCAGCTCAGAACAGCATGAGTGTGGCCGTGGGCTGCAGGATTGTGTCAGGAGCCTCTGCCTCCTTGCAGGAGGGAGCTCTGGGAAGCTGGTGCTTGGAATTGTGGGTCGTGGGGCTTCTAGAGCAGGCTTCCTCGGCAGCAGTACTGGCAGGGTTTCCAGGCATGGCGCATGGAGTGTCGTATCTGCCCCTTCAGAAAGGTGGAGATAGAGTCATTGGGAACAAGAAAGTTCTTAGAGACAAAGGTGTGCACACATGTTGGTCCAGGAGGCTTTTCTTTTGGCCCAAGCCTCTTACTTCCAACCCCTGAGTGAAGACAGTGTGGCTTTCCCTGAGGGGCTGACATTCCTGTTTTCTAAGGCCTCATTTCCCCAGGGTCTCTGATTCCTGAACCAGAGTCATAGGTCTGTGTTCCTAGGTGCCACCCTCACTTGGGCTGACCCCAGGGCTGGGGTTAAGAGTTCTGGGGTCTTATCAGGACTGAATTCCTTTGCGGGGTGCCTTGTGTTATAATCATTGCTTGATTTGGGCCCTGTTCCAGCAGGGGACACAGCCTGTTCCACATTCAGGGCAAAGCAAAGGCTGGCTGTGTGTGGTGGTGCGTACCTGTAGCTTCCCCAGTTCAGGAAGCTGAGGCAGGAGGATGGCAAGTTTGAGGCCAATGTGGACAACTCAGCAAGACCCTGTCTCAAAAAACGTAAAGGGCTGGGGATGTGGCTCAGTGGTCGAGCACCTCTGGTTCCGTCCCCAGTACTGGAAAAAACAGATAGAAAAGGCCAAAAAAGGCTGCTCAAGAAGGAAAGGCCCCGGGCCCCACAGCCTGCCTGTGCCCGCTCAGACTCCCAGTTTTTCTTTTCTTTTCCACCACCTTCTGGCAAAGGGATGAGGCCCTTTAGGTCCTGGGCTTTATGGATTCTGGTGCCTGGGCAGTGGAAGCCCCTTTTCCCTAGGACTTCAGAGACAGTCTGGGGTACAGCTGGGGAGAACGTCCTTGCCCCAGTAGCTGTAAACGTGGGTTCCTCTGTTACCCTCCCTGTACCCTCAAACACTCCACTCATGGAAGCCAAAGGCCAAGGTTATCCTTACCCTTAACTCCAGTGTCCCTTCTCTGTTCATGGGGCATGGGCTGTGAAAGGGCTCCTGGGCACAGACTGGCCACAGCCTGGCTGAGTTCCTGATGTTCCTGGTCTCTGTGCTCAACAGCCACCAGCCTGCCCCTCGCATGGAGACCTTCTTTAGGAGACATTTCCAGCGGAAGGCACCAGGCCCTGGAGCAGGGCAGCGGCGGCCCAGCGGTGTGGGGCTGCTCACGGGCAAGGCCCGGCGTCGCTCCCCTGCAGGGCAGGCCTCCTCCATGCTGGCCCAGCGGAGGCGCTCCAGTGCACAGCCCCAGGGCTGCCTCCTGGGCTGCGGGGTGGGCACCCAGGGAACCAGCCGCCGTCGCTCCAGCACCGCGCCCCCTGCCTGCAATCCCCGCTTTGTTGTGGAATCCGTGCCCACCCCTCCGCCTGCCACCGTTGGGGCTCAGCTTCTGGGTGCACCTCTGCTCTTGGCTGGGCTTGTGGGCATGAAAGAGGAGGAGGAGGGTGTCCAGGAGGAGAATGTGACTGCCAGGGCATCAAGTGCCACCCAGCCGGGCACCAGGACACCTCCCAACACTGCAGGCACCCGGCTGCTGCCAACCCTGCCCCGATGCCTGCGTCGAGCCTCCTCCCACCTGCTCCCTGCTGATGTGGTGTATGATCATGCCCTCTGGGGCCTGCATGGCCACTATCGTCGCCTCAGCCAACAGCGGCCCTCTGGCCAGCACCCTGGCCCTGGGGGCCGAAGAGCCTCAGGCACCATGGTGGGCGCCATGATCCCTGCCCGGGTGCGCCCGCTGACCCGCAGGCGCCAGGTAGCCCTGCGGCGCAAGTCGGCAGGACCCCAGGCCTGGAGCACCCTGCTTGTGTAGGTATAGCTGCAGCAGGGGGGCCGTGCTGCAGCCTCTGAGGGGCTGGCTAGGGGTGCAGGCCTCAGAGCTCTGCCTGGCCCCTCTGGGCAGTGCCTGAAGCCAGCTCACCCAACAAAGCTATGAAAAGGGCTGAGATGCCCACAGGGAGCCTCAGTGCCTGGGCTGCTATGGGATCCTCTCCTTTCCCTCCTGTCCCAGTCTTGGCCTTGGTGGAGGCCACATGAGGGCAGAGATCCCAGGTGGCGGGAAGGAAGTAGAATCAGCAAGTGCACAACTGGCCCTAGAGCCTCAGCTGTCCCCCTTTTTGTAGGAAAGCTATCACCAAGTCGGGCCTCCAACACCTGGCACCCCCTCCCCCAACTCCTGGGGCCCTGTGTGGCGAGGCCGAGAGGCAGATCCGGAGCACTGTGGACTGGAGTGTGAGTAGCTGGGTACTGGGAGAGGCGTGTACCTGAACACCACAGGCATCGGTCCCCCTGGGCTCTGGGACCTGGGAGCAGCCCAGGCCTAGAGATCCTCTGAGCAACTGAGAGAGGAGCCCTGGGCCAGTGGAGTTTGGCAGACTTCCTGGGGGTGGCTTCCCTTGAGCCAGACCTAAGTAGTAGTGAGTGGGAAAAACAGGAAAATAGATTGTGGTAACTGGAACAGGTTTGTCTTGTGAGATGGTGCTGCTGGTGGGCAGGGGAAGCTGCAGGTATGCACTGAGCATGTTCATCCCGTGGTCTAGGAGTCAGCAACATATGGGGAACACATCTGGTTTGAGACCAACGTGTCGGGGGACTTCTGCTATGTTGGGGAGCAGTACTGCGTAGCCAAGATGCTGGTGAGTGAGCACTGCAGGGCTTGCTGCCCCCTGGCGGTGAGGCAGGGTCTAGACGCCTGCCGGCCAACCTCTGCAGGTTCCCAAAGGTGAACACAAGCTCTCACCTGAGCAATCCTGCTTGGGCTGCCCAGGAGCGGGAGAAATGGGCTTTGCCCTGAGGCTGGATGCTGGGGCTTGAGATCCTGAAGCACAGAGAGCTGTGCTGGGGCAGGTGCAGAAAACTGCTTGCCCTGAGGCAGTGTCTGGGATGGAGTTACCTGGTGCCTCAGGGGCCCTCTCTTTCTGTCTTGCAGCAGAAATCTGTATCCAGGAGAAAATGTGCAGCCTGCAAGATTGTGGTGCACACCCCCTGCATTGAGCAGCTGGAGAAGGTGAGTGTGGCCGCTCAGCCTCCCTTTTGGGTGTGGAAGCACATACACTTGTATATCTGCATACAGATGTGTGCATTACACAAACATCACCTGGGTTACACAGCTTGTGTGGTAGTGAAGACTCAAGGACCCTGGAGCCAAAAATGCCTGTATTTGAATCCTGCCTCCCCCCATTTATTAGCTGTTGTACCCAGTGCCTTGAATACCTGGCATACAGTGGGGTTTGTTGTATATGACTCAACAGCATGAAGTGACAACGGTATTGTACCGTTCTATCTTGTCCCAGCTAACAAATAGAAGAGGCCATGGAATGTGCTAAAGCCTGCCCCTGTCCTCTACATTCTGCTTATTCAGAGACCTTTCTCCCAAGGACCATTGGACACCATGTGTCTGCCGCTGGGGGCATGTCTGGGCAGTGGTGGGGGGAAGGGAACACTGGCGAGTGGGCCCATCAAGGTAGGTGGGGTGGATGAGGCTCCCCAGCCTGCAGAAGCCAGGCCAGCATTCGGGAGAGTGTGTAGGACTAGGAGCGGCATGAGCAAGGCCCACGCGGCTGCTTCCCTTGGCCCAGGAATCGCAGAGCCTCCCTAGAGCCTCCCAAGAATTGCAGAGACTCTTCTGAGGCTGCAGCAGGGACAGTTAGGAAAAGAGGAATAGAAACAGCCCTAGGCACTGCAGCCCCATTGACAAAGGTGGAAATTGAACCTGGGTTCACCCCATTAGCTAAGGGTCTCCAGGGGCTGCTCAACAGAGCTGTGAGCAGCAGGATGGGGTTCCTGCATTCACCTAGGTCTGGAGTGCCAGAGGGTGGGAAGAGTAGAAAAATGAGTAAACCATGGTCCCAGTTTAGTAGGAGAGGGCATGAAATGCTCAGCCTCTTCATCCCAGAATCCTGGGCAGAGGAAGGAAAGATCCCTTCTGGTCAGTGGGCATGTTCCAAGGGTTACTGGGGTAATCTGGGGCTCCCGCTACCTTTGATGGTGACTCTGGATGACCATGTCGAAAGGAGATTCTGACATTTTGGTGGTCATTGCAATGTCTCACAGATAAATTTCCGCTGTAAGCCATCCTTCCGGGAATCTGGTTCCAGGAATGTCCGTGAGGTATGTGTGCACTGTGCTTAGGGTCAGGGAGGCCCCAGGTTCCTGAGGGATTTCTCTGCAGTGCTTCCAGAGTGCCACTAGGGGGCTCAGCTCCTTCTAGGCAGCTTGGGGTCTGGGCAGGTCCTGGGATGAGGCTCTGAGTCTCCCAAGGCCAGGCCTGACTGGCGCTGCCTGAGAGAGCTGGGCATCGTGTGCCTCTCTGTGCCTCCCAGCTCTCTCTTTCCCTCCTAAGAATCTCAGTCTTCCCTCCAGGCCACAGACAGAAGTCTTCACATGCAAGACTGCAGAGAGCCCCGTAGCCCCCAGCCCTCACCATGAGACATTGAGGGGCCTAGGCCGTGCTCAGGGTCAGCCCTAATGCACCCCTCCAGTGATATTTTTCTCCCCCCTCCTCCCCCAGCCAACCTTCGTACGGCACCACTGGGTGCACAGGCGACGCCAGGATGGCAAGTGTCGGCACTGTGGGAAGGTGAGGGTCCTGCCTAAGATTGCTATCTGCCTACTGCCCATGGACCCTGTGTGTTCAGCATGGCCTGGCCCCACCAGCTGTGGCCCCAGAGTGCAGACTCCCCAGCTGGCTCTAAGCCTGGCTGTGGCCACTTAGTCTGCAAACACCCTTGCCACACTCTTGGTCTCTGGGCTAAGGAAAGTTTCCTTCTAATGTGGTAGGTCTAGCCTGTTTTGAACTTGGGGGAGGGAATTCTTTGAGAACCATGTAGACTTTTTCATTCATTAACTCAGCAGATATTTATTGTGTAAATATTGCACGCCAAGCCCTGAGCTGGGCATCGGGTTCCTGCCCCCGAGGGGAACATGGCTGAAGACGGACTGCAGAGCATCTTCCCCAGCACAGCCCGCAGTTGTTTTGTTCACTTACTTTTTGCCTCTTGTCTGTCTCCTTCAGCAAGTGCAGGCTCTCAGAGGTGTAGGGGCTCGTTCCTCCATTTAGGCTTTGTTAATGTTTTGTGGAGGGGAGAGGGAGTGAATGCCGTGGGTACCGCAGGAGGCTGTGCAGCACTTCGGGGGCCCAGCCAGCTCTGGAGGCAGGAAGGAGGGGAACCCAGAGTTGGGCAGTGGTTGGCCCTTAGATCCCTAAGAACACATGTGCACCCAGACTTTGCAGTTAGCTCTAGTCATGGGCCCCTAGCTAAGCATCCCTGCCCTTGAGGCTTATTGTGTATTTGGGGCTTTTTTCTTCTGCGCTAAGTTTCCCTGTGTGGAAAGAGGTTGGCAGCAGAAGTGGGTCAGGGGCTATGCTTTAGGTCACCCTGTGCCCCAGCCTCCTTGTCCACCCTCAGGGCTTCCAGCAGAAGTTTACCTTTCACAGCAAGGAGATCGTGGCCATCAGCTGCTCCTGGTGCAAGCAAGCGGTAAGAGGTGACCCCACCCCATGGGCCTATGCCACACAGTGCTGAGCTTGGGTCCCAGGACTCAGCCTGGCCCAGCTCAGCCTGGCCCGTCACTCCCCTCCAGTACCACAGCAAGGTCTCCTGCTTCATGCTGCAACAGATCGAGGAGCCCTGCTCCCTGGGGGTCCACGCAGCCGTGGTCATCCCACCCACCTGGATCCTCCGTGCTCGGAGGCCCCAGGTGAGTCCTTCCCACACCCTTGGCATCTCCCACACTCTTGCCAGACAAGCCAACTCGCCCTCCTGGTCACCAACACCCCATTTTCCTTGCAGAATACCCTCAAGGCCAGCAAGAAGAAAAAGAGAGCATCCTTTAAGAGGAAGTCCAGCAAGAAAGGGCCTGAGGTTAGATAAGGGGCTGGTGGGAGGGACGAGTTGGGGGCCAGAAAAGGGGAGTCTGTTTCTTGGGATCTGGAGCCCCTGAGCCTGATGTTGCCAGCTCAGCCTTCAGCAGGTCAGTTAGGGCCTACAGCCTGATGAGGGCAGAAGATGGCTCCAGTTTTCCCCATGGCCAGGTTCCCCATGAAGTCTGACCTAGTTGGTACCTGAGGGTGTGGTGTGGGACGGGGTGTCATCCAGGGATCTGCTGAGGATGAGGGTAGGGTCTCCAGGGCAGGAAAGAGCCTCAGGAACTGTGTGTCTCCAAGGAGGGCCGCTGGAGACCCTTCATCATCAGGCCGACCCCTTCACCCCTCATGAAGCCCCTGCTGGTGTTTGTGAACCCCAAGAGTGGGGGCAACCAGGTGAGCACAGCTTTCCTCTAGAGAGATTTCCATGAGGGTTGGGGTCGCTCCCATCTACCAGTTGTTCCAGCGTCCATTTCAGGCTTCCAACCCTGGCCCTCTACCTCAGGGATCCTAAGAAAAGCCATCTCTGTCCCTCAGCCCTGCTGAGCCTGGTTCCACAGTCACATCCTTTTCCCTGTGCTTCTTTTCCCCACTTCACCCCGACTGCTTCCTCCTGTCCCCCTCATCCCTTCTACAACACTTGGCTCCCTGTCCCCCCAGGGCGCTAAGATCATCCAGTCCTTCCTCTGGTATCTCAATCCTCGACAAGTCTTTGACCTGAGCCAGGGAGGGCCCAAGGAGGCGTAAGTCCTTGCCCAGGTTCCATGGGGAATGGCAGGGGGCTTGCCTGGCTCTGGGGCGTGGCACATATCCTGACTCCATTCTGTCTTCCCCCGGCCCAGACTGGAAATGTACCGCAAAGTGCACAACCTGCGGATCCTGGCGTGCGGGGGCGATGGCACGGTGGGTTCAGTGTGGTGGGTTCTCCCAGGGCCTGGATGGGGCCTGCAGTGCTGTCCCCTGCCAAGCCCAGACTTTTGGTACTTTGCCCTCTCCAGGTTGGCTGGATTCTCTCCACCCTGGACCAGCTGCGCTTAAAACCTCCACCCCCTGTTGCCATCTTGCCTCTGGGTACTGGCAACGACTTGGCCCGCACCCTCAACTGGGGCGGGGTAAGCAACTCTGGGAGTGGGGAGTGGTCACGGGGGTCTCTAGCCACAGGAGAGGCTCAGTCCTTGCTTCCCTCCACCAGGGTTACACAGATGAGCCGGTATCAAAGATCCTCTCCCACGTAGAGGAGGGGAATGTGGTGCAGCTGGACCGCTGGGACCTCCGTGCAGAGCCCAACCCCGAGGCAGGGCCTGAGGAGAGAGATGAGGGGGCCACAGACCGGGTGAGTCAGCCAGGGCGGGACAGGGTCTGTGGTGTCTGAGATTCTCAGCAGATGGGGGCTGGGCCCCACTCTTCCACTTTTGCCTCTGAAAACTTAAACGAGTCTCTTCAGTTCTCCCAACTTCAACTTCTGTCTCTGTCCCAGGGGAATAATGGTCCTCAGCTCACGAGATAGCTTTTGTATTCATCCACCTGGCAAATATTTCTCAAGGCCTTGTTACGTGCCCAGCACTGTTCTAAGCAGACAAGACAGAGGCCCATGCCTGGAGCTCATGCTCTGTATGGTGTGTGGGGAGGTAGTGCTGTGGCATCCAGCAGGCGCTCATGGAAGCCTCCCGGGATCTGGGAGGGCAGGGCATGCCTTGTGACACAGTGCCAGGTGGGAAGCACTCAGAGAGGTTTCCCTGGACAGACAGCCTTTAGGAGCAGACAGAATGCTGAGCAAGTGTGAAGGCGGGACCAGGCTCGGGAAGGGGAGGCATCGGAGAGGCCCAGGTCTCTTTATGGTCCCTTGACCTTTTTCCAGCTGCCCCTGGATGTCTTCAACAACTACTTCAGCCTGGGTTTTGATGCCCACGTCACCCTGGAATTTCATGAGTCTCGAGGTTGGCAAAATTCTGAGGGCAACATGGGAGGTGGGAGCAGGGTGGGCAACAGGAGCATCTGGCTCCCCAGTAAAGCACACTCGCCCAGCCTCTCCCCACTTTAGCACCAGCAGGTTAACTGCCTGTCCCCCAATTTGTCTCTATCCAGAGGCCAATCCAGAAAAATTCAACAGTCGCTTTCGGAACAAGATGTTCTATGCCGGGGTGAGTCCAAGGTTGGCCAGCCCCCTACCTGCAATGCCCATCAGTGTCTGCCAGGCCACGGGAGCCCTGCTGCACGGAGGCAAGGGTGTTCCTTTCAGGAGATGGTGATACCCTCTGTCTCCCACAGACAGCTTTCTCTGACTTCCTGATGGGCAGCTCCAAGGACTTGGCCAAGCACATCCGAGTAGTGGTGAGCAGGGCTGAACCAGCAGGTGGAGTAGAGGGCCAAGCAGGGGAGGAGACCACCTGGGCACTCACATCCCCTGACGTTCCCCCCTGCCTCTCTACAGTGTGATGGAGTGGACCTGACCCCCAAGATCCAGGACCTGAAGCCCCAGTGCATTGTTTTCCTAAACATCCCCAGGTGAGGAGGTTGGGCTCTGGGTGGACCCTGCTCTCCTGTCCTGCAAAGACTGTGCCGAAGCCAGTCCATTGCCCTCCCTCAGGTACTGTGCTGGCACCATGCCCTGGGGCCACCCTGGGGAGCACCATGACTTCGAGCCCCAGCGGCATGACGACGGCTACCTCGAGGTCATTGGCTTCACCATGACATCACTGGTGAGTGGGCCTGGCTCTACCTGAACACTTCTCTGCCCACAGTTCCTGGGAGCATGGCCTGAAACTGGGGGTCACCCATGCTTCCCATGATTGGCCAGGGTTGAGGAGTTCACCTCACTTCCCTTACTCTGGCCCAGGGCTCACTGTCCCTTCTTCTCTCTGACTTGAGATGACTCTGAGCCTCTGTCCTCTTTCTGTCACTTGTCCTGATTGGGAAGTCACTCTCATTGCCTCCATCTCCTCCCTTCCCCTCTATTCTGCACTCTGTCTGGGGTCCCTGTCTCCTCTCTGCTCTCGTCAGAGCCTCTCTGGAAGGAGCAGAGCTCACCCCCTGCCTCCATCCCATCCTGGCACCACCTGACTGGAGCTTCCTGTACCCACAGGCAGCACTGCAGGTGGGTGGGCATGGCGAGCGGCTGACGCAGTGCCGAGAGGTGCTCCTCACCACGGCCAAGGCCATCCCGGTGCAGGTGGATGGCGAGCCCTGCAAGCTCGCAGCCTCACGCATTCGCATTGCCCTGCGCAACCAAGCCACCATGGTGCAGAAAGCCAAGCGGCGGAGTGCCACCCCTCTGCACAGCGAGTATGTCCCTGCCCTGCCACCATGCAACATGGGTCCTGAAGCCAGGCACAGGTCTTCTTTTTTTTTTTTTGTAGTTGGACACAATATGTTTATTTTATTTGCTTTTATGTGGTGCTGAGGATCGAACCCAGGGCCTCTTATGTGCTAGGCGAGTGCTCTACCGCTGGGCCACACCCCCATCCCAATGGGCCCTCTTTTGATCTTTGGTTTCCCCACCTGTAAAAGGAGCTGGGAATGAGGCTCAGTGGTGGGATGTTTGCCTACCATGTACCAGGCCCTGGGTTTGATTTCCCAAAACCCACAAAAGGGGAGATCTAATAGTCCTTCTGCCCCAGGGAGCTGGGCAGGACATCTCTCCCAGCGCTTGGTTTGGTGCCTGGACCAGGGCTGGTACCCTGGGCAGGGCCCTTGCCGAGTCCCCTCTCACCAGCCCTGCCCCACAGCCAGCAGCCAGTACCAGAACAGCTGCGGATCCAGGTGAGCAGGGTCAGCATGCATGACTACGAGGCCCTGCACTACGACAAGGAACAGCTCAAGGAGGCCTGTGAGTGCCAGCAGGGCTGGGGACAGGGAGGGGTGAGGAGCTGCCAGGTCCCCTGGGGATGGACAGTGGGGACAGCCAACTGTTGATGGGCTGTTCTGTCCTCCAGCTGTGCCACTGGGCACCGTAGTGGTCCCTGGAGACAGTGACCTAGAGCTCTGCCGTGCCCACATTGAGAGGCTCCAGCAGGTAAGGAGGTACCATCTGCCCTGCGCTCCCCTCCCTCCCTACCCCAGCTCTGTTCCACCTTGACACTTGCTTCTTTCTCAACAGGAGCCTGATGGTGCTGGAGCCAAGTCCCCAACGTGCCAGAAACTGTCCTCCAAGTGGTGTTTCCTGGATGGTGAGTATGCCCTGAAGGGTCAGCTCCTAGCAGTACCACATTTGCTCTTATCTCTTGCCTGAGGGAGCCTGGGTTGGGGCCAGAAGACCTGGAGAAGGACCTCCCTTATCCTCAACATCTGTCTCTCCACAGCCACCACTGCCAGCCGCTTCTACAGGATCGATCGGGCCCAGGTGAGCCCTGCAGGCCTGCTCCGCTGCAGCTGGTCTCTGTACCACACGCCCCTCTCTCCAGGGAAGCCTTTCCTGTCAGTTCCACAGGCATACTGGCCTCTGTTCTCATGTCCCCTAGTCCACTTTCATGAGGCCATGACCAGGTGTGGGTGGCCCTATCCTCTAGGCTAGCGTGCATTGGAATGGTGCCAACAGAGAAGGGAGCTGGTGCACACAGGAAAGGTTTGCTGACTGGCCTTGGAGCACAGAGCAGTCCAAAGAGATGGAAGAGAGTGGCCAGGGCCGGGCTACCTGGCTAGAGGATTGGCTGTGGGAAGTGGCTGTGGGCCTAGTGGGACTAGGTTTGGACGGCAGGGATGGAAAGGAGGCAGGGGGGAGATTGGCCGTCCCCAGCCTCCCTTTGCTGTTTATGCTTATATCAGAGGCTTCTCCAGGTTTGCTGCCCCTCAGCCTCCACCATCAGGTACCTGGAAGGCTAGGTGCCTTGGCCCTGACCCTGAGCTTTGACCTTCCCACCCACAGGAGCACCTCAACTATGTGACTGAGATCGCACAGGACGAGATTTATATCCTGGACCCTGAGCTGCTGGGGGCATCGGCCCGGCCTGACCTCCCAACCCCTACTTCCCCTCTCCCCAATTCCCCCTGCTCCCCTACGCCCCGGTGAGTGGCAAGGCCCCATCGCCTCCATTTCCCTTGCTTCGAATCTGTCTTCAGGCTGGCAGCTTCCAAATTCTTGCCTTCAGCCCCAGCTCCTCCAAGAGCAAGCACCAGTGCATACACCAGCTAGCTGCCTGCCCAGCCCCCTACCTGGTGACAAAATGGCATCAATCTGAACTTGGCCAGAGCCCAACTTGGAGCCCTCAGCCTCACAATTGTGGCCTCTCCCAGAGAGCAGCCTCATATCTACCCTGCTGCTCAGGCTCCCTCCTTGCTGCCTCAGCCCCTACCCATACCTGGCCTTCAGCAGGTCCCACAGTGCTCCCCCGCCACGGGAGCACTCCTTCTCGCCTCAGTGCCTGGCCCCCAGCTCTATGCCCCATGCCCTCTGGTGGCCCAGTCTCATCTCGGGCTAAGATGCAGATCGCTACAAGCACTCCCCAGCCTAGAACCTTTCTTAGCATCCCCCAGTCATGGACCCTCCTGGGCCCCACTGCCTGGCTGCCCAGCAGCCTCCCCTGTCCCCCACCACAGTCCAGCCGCACTTGCTTCTTAGTGGCCTGAGGCTGGCCCAGCTTTGGACTTTTGTCCTTGCTGCCACACACTTGCTTTCTTCCCAGAACACCTGCCCCAATTTCAGTGTCAGCTTGGCTCTTGCCCCTCAGAGAGGTCTTTCCCAGGAATGCCATCTAAAGGCACCACTGTCCCTAAGGTGCTGCGGTCCCCCTGGCCACTCAGTCACATGACCCTGTCTGTATCGTAGCACTTCAAATTTCTTATTTATTGCTCGACTCGTGTGTGTCCCTACACTAGAATGTGAGCTCCGTGAGGGCAAGTTCTCCATCTGTCTTATTCCCTGCTGTATCCCTTGTGCCCAGACTAGCGCATGACATGCAGTAGGCACTCAATAAACTGTTGAAAGAATAAAGGACGCCACCCACTGGGCTAGGGAGGGCAGCCAGTTGGGCCTGGCTGAGCTGGGTCACATTTCATCCTGCTCTGTTTGTAGGTCACTGCAAGGGGACTCTGCACCCCCTCAAGGTGAGGCCTTTTCTCCCAGGGTCCCTCCCCTCTCCCCGGTCATAAGTGTGAGGCTCTGTGGGGGTGAGGCCCATAGCACCACACAAGGACAGCCTGAGCCCTACATGGTGACGTTTTTCCACAAGCCCAGCCCTCAGCAGCCTGGTCCTAGCAGGAGTGCCATTCTGTACAGTGATGCACACACGTGTACACAGTGATGAAACACGAGTGCAGCACCAACACGAGCCTGAGCCTCAGACCTTAGAGTTTAACTGGCAGTGTTTTGTGCAGGTGAGGAGTTAATTGAGGCCGCCAAGAGGAACGACTTCTGTAAGGTACTAGCTCCGGGAAGCAGCCTATCCCCTGCAGGCCCTAGGGAGTGGGGCATCTGGATTGGGGCCAGAGCTGACCTGTTCAGGAACTGACACCTGTGACATCTGGCTTTGGTGGGTCTCTGCAGCAATTGTCCCATCCCGTCTTTCCCCATGTGTCTAGACCACAATAGATGTCTCCCAATACGGGCTTCCTTGCCCAGTCCTCCAGTCCCTGGTGCTTAGGGGCAAGTTTTAGGGGAGCAACAGGCTCCAAGGCTTGGTGGTTAATATTCCTGAGGTGAGAGAAGCCCACTGAATCTCCCCTTAACACTCCAGAGACCCCCAGGGATGCCTAGGGAGTAATGCATGTGAGCCAGTTCTGGCTTACGAACCTGTGGGCCTGTGTGAGACTGGGAGAGAAGGCCCCCAGGAGCCCCAGACCTGCTCTGCCTCCTGCCCTCAGCTGCAGGAGCTGCATCGAGCAGGAGGCGACCTCATGCACCGGGACGAGCGGAGTCGCACGCTCCTGCACCACGCGGTCAGCACTGGCAGCAAGGAAGTGGTCCGCTACCTGCTGGACCACGGTGAGCTGTGCTCCTGGGGCCAGGTGGGAGGAGGGGAGGATGCCAAGCCTCTGACCATACCCTTCCCCCTGCAGCACCTCCAGACATCCTTGATGCTGTGGAGGAGAAGTAAGTACCTGGGAGCTCAGGTCCCTGGCTGGCCTTGGAAACCAGCCTTCTCCATACCTTCCCATTTGGTCAGTCAGAGCCCATGAACCTTTGCTGACCAGCCTGTTGTCCTCTGGGCTGCCCCTTCCCTCTGGTCCCCAAACTTCCTGCCCTTTCTGATGGCACTTGGGAGAAGGCCTGAAAAAGGACTGGAGGAGGTCCACAGCCAGCCTCTGCTCCCCCAGCGGGGAGACCTGTCTGCACCAGGCAGCGGCTCTGGGCCAGCGCACCATTTGCCACTACATCGTGGAAGCTGGTGCCTCACTCATGAAGACGGACCAGCAGGTGAGCAGACCAGCAGGGCACAAAACCAGCCATCCCCAGATGTGGGGGTGGGGACTGCCCTTGTGAATTTGAAGCTGTCCTTCCCCTGACAAAGTCCAGATCCTGAGAAACCCGAGCCAGCAGGGGAGGAGGCAAGGCAGAGGAAAAGACTCTGCCCTTTCCTAAACGGGTGGGGACCTTAGCCTGTGGCCCCTGCACTGATTGCAGCTACCCCAAATCCAGGGTGACACTCCCCGGCAGCGGGCTGAGAAGGCTCAGGACACAGAGCTGGCTGCCTACCTGGAGAACCGACAGCACTACCAGATGATCCAGCGGGAGGACCAGGAGACGGCTGTGTAGTTGGGGCAGCTCGAGGGACTGTAGCCAAAGGATGAGCTCCTGCCCTGCCCACCTCACTGCCACATTCCAGTCAGATGGCCACGGGGGGACCCATGACCCAGGGAAGGAGCCCTGTGCCATCCTTGAGAAGCCACCCAGACCTAGGGCTGGACTCTGAGGAGCTGGGGCTCTTACCTGTCCCCCTGAGGTCCCCAGTCTGACCCCTAGGCTCACAGGGGATCAGGAAACCGGCTGGGCTGGACAGGCCTTTGGGAGACTGGAGCTGGGCGGCTTCACGGCAGCCCCAGCCTCACTGCAACAGATGTGCTCCGCAGCGGCTGGACAAGGGCCGGGCAGAGTGGCCGAGGCACAGTCAGGGAGGCCTTCAGGAAGAGGCTTCGCAAACCACCTGGACTTTAGGACCCGCCCCAGGTTCCTGGGAGCTTAGACCCTCTCCTGCCCTGACACCCCTCCTGGCTCGACCCGGAAACCCAGGAGCCGGCTGCACTCGCCTGCCCGCTGCCCTGCTTGGCACCTACCCCGTGACCCTCCCGTGCACCAGTCATTTCATCGAGGGCTGTGTGGCCTGGGGGGTGGGGGGTTCTCTCGGTGACATGTTTACAGCTGGGTGTGAGTAAAGTGGATTTTTTTTTCCCTTTTATGTTTTTCTCTCTTTGCTGGGGAGGCCTTCCGGAAGCCGCAGCGCCTGCTGAGTTACCCTCGGGGTGGGGGACTGGACACTGTCGACCCGGACCCTCCCTGGAGGCCCGGGCTCCCCCGGGGGTGGGCCTGCCCGGCTCCTGACCTCTGCCCGGCCTCGCTCGTCGGGCCGGGGGCGGAGTCGGTTTCTTCGGCTTCCCGCTTCCAGCTGGGGCGACAACAATGAAAGTGAAAGGGGGGGAGCTGGCCGGGGTCCGCCGGCCCGTCGCCCCGCGGCCTTGGGCTAGCACCCTCCCCAGGCCTGTTTCGGGGGTCGGGTGAGGTGAGCCCCGCGGCCCCGGCTGGAGGGGGTGGGCGTCTCCCGCCGCCGCCACGGTCTGTCTGGAACTTCTCAGACGGCTCTTGTCAGCTCCAAGTGCCACCAGACCGAGCCTGCGGGCTCCTCCGCCCGCCCCCTCCAACCAGCAACCCGGGGAGGCGCCGGCGCCCTCCGCGCCCTCCGCGCCCCAGCCCGTGCGCCCTCTCGTCCCGGCTCCGGGCTCTCCGCCGCAGGGCCGTTACCTGCCCCGGGGGTGGCGGCGCGCCCTCCCCAGGAACACGCGGGAAACCCGGGGGCTGCCTGCGGGAGGTGGAGTGCGACCTCGACGGGCTCAGCAGAGCCCGGGGCTTGTGACACACGGGTTCCGTGACCCTCCTGGGACCACGTCTAAGGCTCCAGGCGGCCCAGGTCCCGGGCGACCGGCGGGGAAGGGGGACGGGCCTCTGAGGGAGGCAGAGGGCCGGGAGGAGAGATGGGGCCAGGGGCTGGGAGTGCGAGGCCGGGACCGCGACCCAGGGCCCGGGGTGGGGGCGCGGGCGGGGAGAGGCGAGGGTGCGGGGACCCAGGCCGCGAGGCCGGGCAGGGGCGCGGGGCGGGAACGGAGGCGGGGACGCCGGGGTCGGGGGCGGCGCGGGGTTGAGGGGAGGGGGCGGGGCGGGTCCTTTCTCGGTTGGGGGGAGGCGGGGAGGGGGCGGGGGCCCATGTGACCGGCTCAGACCGGTTCTGGAGACAAAAGGGGCCGCAGCGGCCGGAGCGGGACGGGCCCGGCGCGGGAGGGAGCGAAGCAGCGCAGGCAGCGAGCGAGTGAGCGCGCGGGGCGCGGAGGGCGCGCGGCGGCCGTGGCCCGTCTCCGGCTCGGTCGCTGCCACCCCGGGGGCTGAGGCGGGATTGGGGGTCCGAGCCGCGTCCCGGGCTCTCGGCGACGCCAGGGGACAGACACATTCGGAGACGCGACCTGGCCAACGGGAGGGGCCCGCTCCAAGTCCTCCCTCTGCAGCCCTGTTAGCGGCCCGGAGAACCGAACACATGGGGTGGGAGGTCCCTGCACGCGGCCCCCAGTAGTGGGGAAGGGGACCGGCGAGGGACTCTGACCCCTGCTCTTCCACCAGGATGCAGCACCGTGGCTTCCTCCTCCTCGCCCTTCTCGCGCTGCTGGCGCTCACCTCCGCGGTGGCCAAAAAGAAAGGTGATGGCGGGGGCGGGCAGGTGAAGCCGGGACCGGCCGCCGGGTTTCCGAGCTCGGAAACCTCCGAGGAAGTCTCCGGTGACCCGCGTCCTGAACTCTGTCCCCTGCGCGTTGTAGATAAAGTGAAGAAGGGCGTCCCAGGGAGCGAGTGCGCAGAGTGGACCTGGGGACCCTGCACCCCCAGCAGCAAGGACTGCGGCGTGGGTTTCCGCGAGGGCACCTGCGGGGCCCAGACCCAGCGCATCCGGTGCAGGGTGCCTTGCAACTGGAAGAAGGAGTTTGGAGGTGAGGTGGGGCGCAGGCGGAGGGCAGGAAAGGGGGGCACAGTTTCACTGAACCCTGGGTAGGGCCGTGGAGAGAGGCCACCAGCCGCCCCAGCTCTAACCCGGGCCACTCTCGCGCCAGCCGACTGCAAATACAAGTTTGAGAGCTGGGGGGCGTGTGATGGGGGCACAGGCACCAAAGCCCGCCAAGGCACCTTGAAGAAGGCTCGGTACAATGCCCAGTGCCAGGAGACCATCCGCGTGACCAAGCCCTGTACTCCCAAGACCAAAGCCAAGGCCAAAGGTCAGTGAAGGGAGTTCGGTGAGGCTGTCGTGGGGGCTACCCTCCACCTGAAATTTTGGGCCCTGGCGCGTAGGGACAAGAGGGAGGGCCACTGAGCTGCTCAGGAGATACTAAGTGATCTCTGGCTGGAGGAGGGACCAACTCATTGTTCTGTTGAAACATTTAGTTTAGGACCCAGGGAACACTTGTCTTTGTTATCTCTCCAGCCAGAGGGATTCTTTGGTCCCCTCTGCCCCTTTCTGGTTGAGGAAGGACTTTTCAGTGGAAAGGTCTGTCTGTCTTAGCTCATTCCTGACTCACAACAGTCCAGACAGGCCAATGGGCAGAAGTAAAGCTGCGCTTCCCAGGTGAGGAGGCTGAAGCTGTTACTCAGGGCTTCTAAGACCCGGCCTGGGACAAGGGACTTGAAAGTTTTTTGTTTTTTTTTTAATATTTATTTTTAATTTTTCGGTGGACACATCTTTGTTTTATTTGTAAAACAAAGGTGCTGAGGATCGAACCCAGCGCCCCGCGCATGCCAGGCGCCGCGGGACTTGGAAGTTTTTTGATCCTGGTGAAAATATAAAGTTGAGGGAGTAGGGAACATCTGGCATCATAATGGCTGCCGTGTCCCACCTACTTCCAGGTCAGCTGGTGGAAGACCACTAGGGGGCAGGATTTTCTCTCTGATGTGGGGCGGGGGGTCTCTCCTGAGCACTGTAACTGGGCTAATGTGTTTCTTTCTTGTTTTACAGCCAAGAAAGGGAAAGGAAAAGACTGAGGCCAGGTCGGGAAGCCAAGGAGCCCCTGGCCTTACCCAGGGCCAGGCCTGCACCCTTCCCTCCCACAGGCCCAGGATGTAACCTACCAGTGCCTTTGTCTGCTTATTAGCTTTATCAATCATGCCCTGCTTTTGTCTTTGACTCCCCACCCGACTCCAAGTGCCCCAAGTGGGGAGGGACAAGATTCTGGGAAGCTTGAGCCTCTCCCCAAAGGGATTTGATTCCCAATACCCGCTTTGTTCTTCCCCACCACGATACCTGTTACTGAGAAATAAATAAAATGAATCGACTTCTTTTTTTCCCGAATAAAAGCTTTTTTTTTTTTTTTTAATATATAAAAGCCCCTTCCCAGGGAGTTTGCTGTGCAGCTTTGTTTGTGGGTGGAAAAGTGGGCGAAGACAGGCGGTAGGGATTGATGGACTGAAGGGAACTGGTGGCTTGGTGGTGAGTACTCCCCAGAGCCCATGGAAACAGCATGAAAGGGTCCCCCATCAAACCCAGTCCTCATTTGTTCCAATAACCACACCAGGGCTGGGGAAGAAAACCAGGATGACTCACTAGAAGGAAGCCTCACCAGGTCAAAGGTCTTTTGGTCCAGCCCACTACCCATCAAAGGGCTCTGCCCATTGGTCCAGCCCACTACCCATCAAAGGGGAAGGTAGAGATGGAGGGTGCTTGCCTGCTTCACCCTGCACTGACATTGAAGCCTGCGTGGGTCACCAACTATACCCCCTTTCTGTCTCCCTTGGGCCCACATCTCCTTCAAGGCAGAGGCAGAGTGGAGAAGATGGTAGGGCACTGCCCACTGCAGCCCCCCCCCCCTTTTGGTGTGTGACCCAGGATGGGCCCTCTCCTGGGGGAGGGAAGTCCATCAGCTTTAGGCTAACCTGGGGTCAACGCTGGACCACAGAAGCCTAGACTTCAGTTCCTGAGTGAATCCCTGACCTCCCAGCTGCCCTACCCTGAAGTGACAAGGACAGTGCTACAGGGGAAAGGGAGGTGCCTCAGAGCACTCAGCCTAGCCTGGCCTGCTCCCCCATGCACGTAGCCACCCAGAGCCCTGGTTGAGCAGCTGCAGGAGGGAAAATTCTGCCCCTGGAGTGGGGTTTTGGGGGGAGGAGCTGAGCCTACATGCAGGGTGCAGGGAGGCGGAAAGCACCAATTACAGCAGAATGGGGGACCCCACCCTTCTACCCTTCCAAGACTGGCCCCTTTGCACCTCTGGAGACACTCCTGGCCTCTGCCCCCTTCCGGGTGTCCATTCTCTTGTGATGCTCCTACGAGGGGGCAGCTGCTCACCCGGGCCAGTGCCCCCCAGCTCCCTGAGGAGGGCGACAGACATGGGCCAGGTGGTCCCAGTTCAGAGGCTGAGCCCCCTCGGCCTGAGCCGGGATCTGGTCTCTGAATCCAAACAGAGCCTCTTCCTCGCAGTGTGGCGGAGAGCTCAGTTCTCCTCTTCAGCAAATGCGAGCACGGAATGGGGCCTCCTAGTCTCTTCCCCACAGCAGGTGAGCCATGTGGTCCCCCAGCACACGTGCCATACCAGCACCTCCTAGGGCACGCCTACCTGCCTACCTGGCAGTTCCGATGTTCCGGTACTGGCAGAGCAACAGGTGCCGGAAGGTCTTTTTAAAGGTGGCGTTGCAGAGCGCGTAGCAGGCGGGGTTGATGGTGCTGTTGACGTAGCAGAGCCAGTAGCCGATGGACCACACTGTGTCAGGGATGCAGCTCTGGCAGAAGGTGTTCACCAGGACCATGACATTGTAGGGTGTCCAGGTGAGGATGAAGGCCAGCAGGATGGCAAAGATGGTCCTCGTCACTTTGCGCTCCCGGGCTGCCATCTGCCGCTTCTTGCGCACCTGGTTGCGAGCGATGCTGGCAAACTTGCGGGCCACGTTGGCTGCCGGACGCATGCCAGCTGGAGTGGCAGGTACAATCTCGATTGCTGTCACACACTCATTGCCTGTCTGCTTCGTCACAATCTGGATTTTGGACCATTTGGAGGTGGGGTTGAGGGTCCGTGCCTGCAGGTTAGGGGCAGGCATGGCAGGCGTGGTGGCCTCTGTGGTAGACAGCTCTGTGGGTGGTCGTTCCTTGGTGTTCTGGGTAGCACTGCCTGAGCTAGACTCATTGGAGGTGTCCTTGTCAGCCATGGGGCGTGGTGGCGGTGGCAGGGCTGGCGGAGGGGCCTCCTCTAGCTTCCCGTTTCTCAGCTCCTCCCGAGCTGCTCCTCCTGGTGGGGGTTTCTTAACACTCTGCTTCATCAGGGGGCTCTTGAGGAAGGCCAGAGTCTTGGCCTTCTTCTCCTTGGGGCCTTCAGGCCGGTGCTTGTGAACTCGGCTGCGACTGGCCAGAGAGATGTGGATGTAGAGCACCGTCATGATGACCACGGGCAGGTAGAAGGCAGCAATGGCTGTGCCAAAGGTCACTGCTGGGTTGGACAGGAACTGGATGAAGCACTGGTTGTCCGGCACTGTCCTCTTGCCCACCACGAACTGCCAGAACAAGATGGCAGGGGCCCAGAGAACGAAGGACAGGACCCAGGCAGCAGCAATCATGAGGCCCGCCATCTTGGTGGTACGACGGGCGGGGTAGGTGAGGGGCTTGGTGACGCAGAAGTATCGGTCAAAGCTGATGATGAGAAGGTTCATGACAGACGCATTGCTCACTACGTAGTCCAGAGCCAGCCACAGGTCACAGACCACAGCCCCCAGGGGCCAGTAGCCCTTGATGATGTACACGGTGTAGAGGTTCATGGAGAAGGCGCCTATGATGAGGTCGGCGCAGGCCAGGCTGAACAGGAAGTAGTTGTTGACGGTCTGCAGCTGCCTGTTGACCTTGATGGACAGCATCACCAGGATGTTGCCCACAACAGTCACCAGGCTCAGTGAGCCTGTCACTGTGGCGATGAATACCATCTCCACGGTCTCATAGCGGTTATTAGTTGATGTGACCAGGCGCACAGACTGGTTGCCCGAGCTGCCATTGACTGGTGTGAAGTTCGCCATGTTGGTTAGTAGCAGTGGGGTGGCTGGGGAAGGAAGGAAAGATAAGGGATGAACTGTTGAAGAGGCTGGGGGTGGAATGAAGAGAGAAACTGGTGTCAAGGTGATGGAGGAAAAACACCTGGCAGAACATAAGTGAGCTCTGCCATTCCTCGTGTGCTCATTCACTCAACATTTATTGTGGGCCTTCTTGGCGCCAAGCGCCATTCCAGGTGCATGACACACACGGTCCCCATCTCAGCCTGTGTAATCTATTGGGGGCAGGGAGACGTGGGCAACAGCAACAAATGCTAGAAAGGAAACAAGGCAGGGTGTCCCAGAGTGAGGGACAGGGATGGTTCCTTGCTAAGTGACCAGGAGAGGCCTCCCTCAGGAGATGAAGAGGGTGCTGACAGCCTGCAGCTACAGAAGGCGCTGTAGAGGCCAATCCTGCCAAGGACTATGGCCTGAGCACAGGCTAGAGGCAGGTGGTGAGCACAGACGGCGCCAGTGCGGCTGGTGCCCAGGGAAACCAGGGGGAGGGAGAGGATGTCCAATGAGTGGCACTAGAGGCTGTGCGTGTGGTCTGCTGAGAGGTGCTCATTCATACACGTGGTCATTTTCTTTTCATTTTTTGTTTGTGCTGGGGGTCAAACCCGGGGCCTTGGCACATTCTACACTGGAGACCAAAGCACTAATACGAGGAGAGTATACATCACCTCCCCAACCAATATTTATTGTCTACCAAACACTTTTAATAATAAAAGTATTAACTCACGACATTCTCACAATAAATGTAGGAGGCAGTTATTTTTCACTATCTACACATGGGGAAACTGGCACGGAGATGTCAAATAACCTAACCAAGACTTGGAAACCCCTTGATGTCCTGTTGTTGGAGACGTGCCTGTGAGATGAGCTGAGAGCTGTCCCATAACTCAGGATTCTAGCAGAGGGAAGCCAGAGTCACCAGAGCCGGTGATTCCAAGGGAGTGTGTGTGCGGGGTAGGGGGGATCCCAGAGGACGAGAGGAGATGAGGAGGAGCCGGGCACTTCCAGGAGGAGGAGCAGCAGCTGTGCAGAAGAGCCTCAGTATTCACTCCCTGACCCTCACCTCCAGCCCAAGGCACGGGGAGCTAGCGCAGGGGTAGCTGGCGCTCAAAGCCCCAGGAGTCAGAAGCCTAAAGGATCCATCAGCCCAGGATCAACACATGACTTCCCCAGGGCCAAGGCCAGCCCTAAGGCTGGGCCGGAAAGGCAAAATAGAAAAGGATTATCTCAGGGAGCCCCTCCCACACCCAATGCAGAGGCTGCCCCAGCTGGGGTCTCCCAAGCCCCAGGCCCCCGCCCTGAGCCTGCGCTCCCTCCCACCAGCCTCTCCTCAGCTCTCCTCCTCCTCTTCCTCTTCCATACATGTGAGGGAGGCCCACGCCCAGCTTGCTGTGCCAGGGCAGCCGCTCAGCCCAGCCTCCTTAACACCCGCCAACACACACACCATTCCACATACGCACACGGCCCCATCTCAGCCACACGCAGGTCGTATACGCAGTTCTGTGCGTCTGTGTGTGTGAAAGAGGAAGAGCGGGCGTGGCAGCCGGGTGTGGAGGAAGACGCACTCACCCTGCAGCCTGCTTGCTAGAAGCCCAGCGGGGTAGGTAGAGGGCAGCCAGAGGGATGCCACCTCGCCTTCCTGCACCTCCTTTCTCATTTGCTGAACAGGATCCTGCCCTGAGACAACCTCCTGAACAGCTTTGGGACTGGCCCCTCAACTTCCTCTCCAGCCTGGAAATGGCACTGAGGGCTGGAGCCCAGCACCAGGGTGTCCCCCAAGCCTGGCCCCAGTGCCCTACTTCACCATCACAGACACAGACCCAGCCTCATGGCCTCAGACTTCAAGTCCTCCAGTTCCAAATCCTTGGTTGACAAGAGGAAAGGCTGAGGGAGGTAATGCCACCCCCAAGGTCACTCAAGGAATCAAGGGCAAAGGGCAAAGAGGGCCTTGGCCCAAGAGTCTGACAGCTTCGTTCAGCTCTGAGAGCCTCTGAACTAGATCCTCAGGTGTCACCCTCTGAATTGGAAGGGCAGTAGCACCCAGCACATTGAGGCTGCCCAACCCAGGCACATGCCCATGAGAACAGGGTGGGCAAGAATGATCCAGTCAGCCTCCAGGAAATCCTCACACTGGCATCATAGGGTCAGGACACGGGCCAGCAGGGCGTAAGGAGTAAGGGGGCTAGATGTGCCAAATATGAAATGAAAACAGCTCTTGTTTATTGAGTGTCAACGTGACACAGGAACCCCTCTGAGCTTTTTACATAGATTATCTGGTTTATGCTTCTTACAACAGCCCAATATATCCAGGTATATTAGTAGTCTAATCTTATGGATATAAATATCCTCTTAGAGAAGGATAATAGTAAATAGCTTGCCTAAGTCACTCAATTTGTAAAGCAGGGCAGGGGCAGAATTAGAACCGAGAGCCACCTTCTCAACTCGGGGTACAAGTGCACAGTCCTCCCGTTCAAAGCCACACAACTGGGGGACCCATTAGGTCCTTGGTCCCTTCCCATTTCTGCCCTCTCCCGTACTTAACTTTCTTGGACAGGAGACCTCTTGTCCTGGTTGGGGTTAGGCTGAGCCTGAACAAATAAGTGGCAGGTGATTTAGTTTCCTTCTGGGGCCTGCCAATTGCAGACAGGGCAAACTCTGTCTCCACAACTTGATCCAAGCTGTCTTTCTGGACCCCTCTGGGTCATCCGCAGACAATCTGACCGCAGCTCCTTTCCCTGGAATCCAGGACCGCCCAGGATCTGAGGAGGCGAGCCAGATGCCGGCCGCCCGGGGCTTGCGCACCGCTAGATGGCAATGTCGGACCCTGGGTTCCAGCTCGGGGACCCCAAGCAGGCAGCCGCTCGCCACCGCCCCTAACTTCAACCCGACCTCAAACCCCGAGGAACCCCTAGGCAAGGCTTCTTAGGGAAGGGGCATAGGGTCCCATTGCTAGACCCTACTTGAGGTCGCCCACAAAACTGCCCTCAACTCTGCCAGGGGTCCAAGGGTGAGAAAGTTTAGGGCGCCCGGATTCCACCCGGCACCGGGAGAGGAACGTGTGGGCGGGAACGCGAGTGCGAGCTCTGTTTGTGTGTGATTACCAAGGAGCGAGAGTAGACGCTAGTAGCTGTCTGCATGTGCGTGTGTGCGCACAGCCACGCCTGGATACCAATGCGCCGGTAAGCGCGTGAGCATGCCCGCGCCATGTGGACACGTGCATGTACATGCATGTGCTTCCTGGAGCAGGCACACACACGGTGCAAGTGGCTGTGCTTGCGAACTTGTGTTCACGAGCAAATGCAGGGCCGACCCATTCCAACCGAGGCCGGGGGACTCAGTCTAGATTTAGCTGTCTTCCTGAAGGCCGAGAGGGTCCGCCAGGACCCAGCGCCCGGATGGTGCCTGGCTTGTAGATGGGGAAGGGCTGAGGCCAGACTACACTACGGAAAGCGACGGACCCCAGACTTTGAGACATTATTTAGTCGGACGCTTGGGGTTGTCCGCGTCCTCAAGGATGAGGCGTGGAGTCCCAGCCTTGCAATTGACTTCTGTCGAGGGCTGCAATAGTCGCCCAACTTGGCCTTGAGGGACCCCAGGCTCAGCTCAGCGTGCCCAATGGTGAGAAGGCAAGGGCAGCAGAATTACATGGAGAGACCCGGCTTGGGCTTGGGTCAGACAAGTTTCAGAGTCTTTCTCTCCTTCATTCTTCACCCCCATCCCTGCTCCCTGCTAGAGAGGCCCTGCCTAGCCCTTGGGGCCAAAGTAGGCACCGTTTTCCCAAGCCCTGGGCTCAGGGGAGACGCGAGGATCAGCTTGAGGATTACTCCTGGGCCCATCTGGGGGCTCCTCCACAGCTGGGTGGTGGTCCGTGAAGCCCTCGCTCTCCGGTGCCCCGCCCTCCGGCCAACCCTCTAGCACGCAGTTGCAACAGCCTCTGGGCGTGGGCACCAGGCTTTCCCGGGTCCTCGAGACCCCAACCCTTCCCCGTGCAAAGCAGATGGATGCTCTGGCATCCTGTGTGGTGGTTTGGGACATACGTCCTCGGTTTTGAAGCTGCCATTCCAGGGCTCTGGAAAGCTGTGGCCCCTGGATTTGTCCCTGGGGCCAGAGAGGAGACTGGAGTTCAGGGGAGGGAGAAGGGTGTAGGGGATTCGGAATGGACAAGGAACCCCACACTTCCGCTGCGAGTCCGGAGGGTGGGGTGGTGGTGGATGAGGCTGGATTTCCTCGGCTCAGAGCCTGGGCAACAGCGGGGGTTAGTCCTGGGGAGGGGGAGGGGCACTGGGAGAGGGCAGGGGTGTTTTCCGTCGGGGTTCAAGGTCGCTGATAGAGGACTCCATGGGCTGGAGTGGGCTGGCAGCTCCCGGGCAGTCAAGGGAGGAGGGGAGGGCGGGGAGACGAGCGGGAAAAAGGCTCTATTGGGCTCCAGAGCCCGGAACCCTGCAGAGCTGCCAGTAGGAGGGATGGAGTGCAGGGTCCCGACCCGACGGCTGTCGCTGGCTTGGGGGGCTGCTGTAGGCGGGCACTCCTCTGCCCCGGACCTGCTGAATGGCCATCTTTCCCTAGAGGCGCACCTGGAACAGCCTCCGAGAGACCCCGGGCCTTTCTTCCAGAGGGGTGGCCCACCCTCGGGGCCCTCTGCCGCTCCCAGCACCGCGCCAGCCTGAAGAGGTCTGGGGCCCTGTGCCAGTGGAACCCACCTCTGGAAACCCTCAGAGGGTCCCGAAGCCCTGCCACCTTCTCTTCCAACCGAGCCCCCCGCCCCCGCGCAGCAGCGGAGTCACTCACCCGCCGCCGCTGTCCCGCTTCCTTCGCGTCGGACAGACGGCGGGACAGACGGGAGGCCCCGCGGGCCGGAGGGGCGGGCGGCCTGGCCGTGGGCCGGGGGCGGGGACGGGGTGCCGAGGGGCGGCCCCTGCTCCGCCTGCAGCTCCCGGCGCTGTGGCTCCGACTCGCGCTCACGCTCGCACTTTTCCCCGAGCCGCGTGATGTCACGGGGAAGCAGCCAATCGTGGTGGGGCCGCGCCGCCCTCCCCGGGCCGGTCACCCAGCGGCGACGCGCGGGGGTCACCACTCGGGGCGTCGGGGACCCCAGGGGCTTGCGCCTTCCCTGAAGCCGGCGGGGACTCCCAGCTCGGGCACTGTGGGTACACCGCCCACAGTCGCCAGTGCGGGTTAGCAGGGGGCGCTGCCCTTCGGGGGGGTGGGGGGGTGTTAGCGTTGTCATGGGGACGCGGCGCCCCCTCGCGGGATGGGAAGGAAGCGGGCTCTGGGGTCTGACTACGCTCCCCGCCTCCGCCCTGACCACGCATCCGGGACCCCGAAGTGTTTTCGCGCCTCTCCGGGACCTCACCCGGCTACACTATCCCGCTGGCGGTTCCACCGCGGGCGCGAGTATTTGACCCCAACAGGAGGTTATGGGTGGGTGAAGTGGATTCGACCACCACGGTTCCGTCGGGGCAGAGGCCGGGAGTTTCCAGCCTTGGGGCTGCGCGTCGGCAGCCAGGCAGCCGACAGGAGGGGCGCCGTCGGGGCCTGGGAAAGAGCAGGACAGAGATGAGAGAGGGTCTGACAGGGAGAGAAGAGCGCGCCCACCGCAGGCAATGCGCCCCCAGCCCCGCCCGGTTCCCCGATTTGCGCTCCGAGCGGTGGAAGAGGCTCCTACCCGCTCTGCCAGCCCTAGGATGGGACGCACCGCCCATCCAGCCGCGGCTCCTTTACCGCTGCTTGTGAGGTAAAAAGCCAGGTGCTCAAGGTCACCTGGGACGGAGCCCGGGAAAAGACCCCAAGGGCAAGTCGCCAGTGTCCCAGATCTCCCGGGACAGCGCTGGCTGCAGCCTCAGGTCGGCGGGCCTTGCCTGCGCAGGGCCGAAAGTGGGCGCCTTCAGCACCTCGGAGAGCACCACCTCGGCCTCGGCCACGGCCACGAGGCCTCGACTCCGCCGCACCGGCCACCGCTCTTGGGTCTCCCTCTTAGCCCTTTCTGAGGCCAGGCAGGGTCGAACGCGCCCCTCCGCGTCCGGGTCCTGGGACCTGCCACCCCAACACTGAGCTTAAACAACCGGTTAACCTTAAGGCGGTTGGTTCCTTCTCTTGGATAAACAGCCCAAGTCCCGCCCTCCCGGGCCTGCGGGGGGCCGTTGGGGGAAGGAGGAGGCGCGGACGGCAGTGGAGGAGAGGCTGAGGCGGCAGGAACTTCTCCGCAGAAAAGCGGGGAGCTGAGCAAGAGCCAGTGCTGTGGGCCCTGGGTGTGAGATTCTCCATGCTACACAGGAAGTGGAGGTCGGGTCCCCTGTGCGATGGCTTGTCAGAGTTGGGAACTTCAGGGCTGGACTTGAGTTTAGGGCTAGTGTGGGAAGCCATATTCCTTCACCTGGGGGATCTGATCTCCGGCTATCCTCTTAACAGGGTGAAAGGAGCACTATTGTTCTTGCTCCACTTCACAGAAGAGGCTCAGTTGGTGACAGTCCTGCGCTTGTTCCACTTTGCTATATTCCTCCTAGGGGCGGGGGTGGGAGTGCGGGATGCTCTTAGGAGACTGGAAATGTGTGTGTGGATGGGGAGGGCAGAATCTTAGATGGGGAAACCACCAAGGCCAAGGACTGGAAGCCCCAGAAACGAGAAACGAACGTCCCAAATTGTCTTGAGCTCTTCCAGAAACTGTCAGGCAAAGCCATGCTGGTTTCCCCACAATCCCTGCTATGGGCTGGGACTTTATCCTCCCCCACCCCCTAATCCCAGAACCCATAGTGGAACCCTGGAGGGCTAATTTGGGAACCAGAGAACATGGTTTAGTCTCTCTGCTCTCCCTTTGATCCAACTGGCCCGGTAGACAGGTCACACATTTCTCCGAACGTGCCCTCACCTCCAAAGGGATTTATTGCTGATCTTTGTCCTGCTGATCCAGCAGCCTTGTGTTGTGTGAGGGGTCCTGCAAAGGTCCTCCTTGCTATCAAGGAGGCTACCGCTAGGTGAGAGCCAAGGGAAAGGGATGGTGTGGAGGCAGGCAGGTGTTGACAATAGCCTCCAACAGGGAGCATGTGGATTCATTCTTGGCCAGAGCTCACAGAGGTGGATGACGCAGGGCCAAAATTGGACCACCTCATCCACAAGGCCTCCTCATACCTTTGTTCCAAAAGCAACAGTGCAACTCCAGGTCCCATTCTGTTTTTCCTAAGCTGTCTTCCTTCTGTAGGAATTAGTGGCCAAGATGTGTGCTCTGGAATCATACACTACCGAAGTCCAAACCCATGCTCTCCGACTTAGTTATGTGGTCTGGGGCGATGGCAGTAACCATTTTAGAGAGTTTTTGCATGTGGATATAATACACACGGAGTCCTTGTCCTGTGGTTTACACTAAACAAATCCTTCAATATTTATTTCAAATCCTACTTTTTAAGGTAGGCCTGCCCTCACTATGTTCTCTGAGCAGGAATGACTCAAGATTATAAAGATAAAACTAACTTTTTAAGACTTTGCTTACGGGGCTGGGGCTGGGGCTCAGTGGTGGAGCACTTGCCTAGCTGTGTGAGGCTTTGGGTTCGGTCCTCAGCACCACATTAAGCATATAAATAAATAAATAAACAAAAAAAGAGGTTGCTTGCCCAAGGCCTCACGGCTTCTGATGGATCTTTTAGTTCAGCCTACTGATATAATTTTCTAGAAAATTTGAGAGTTTCTAACTATTTAACTTCGCATTGTTCTGGAAGTACTTGCTGCCCACGAAACACCCAGCGTTTATCATATTTTGTTACACCTCTCTTAAGTTGGGGCAAATATCCTTCTCCCACTTTCTAAAATGGCTTGGAACTTGGAAGTGGCCAAGTCCCAAGGACGATGCAGGCTTTTCAGTCACTGTCTGGGAGACACACATGAAAAAGGCAGACCTGGAGCAGAAGGCATGGCACCCTCATGGTACCTGCAAACAAGAGCAGCTCTCTGCTCACTGCAGAGACACCAAGGCAGATGGTCTCCCTGGATTGAAGGGGATCTATTGCTTTTGCCATTTACATCTTCAGGTCCATAATCCTGGGTAGGAAGCGACAAGGATGAGCAACCACTCCTTCCTGCCCACCCACCACTGAGAAGCTGCCCCAATCCACAGCAGGCACCTGAGAAGCAAGGGGTAATGGTCTAGAAAAGCTGTGTGAAGCAGAGGTGGTAGCCCTTAACCCACTGGCTCAGTCAGGGCTTTTCCACTAGAACAGCAATACCACTGAAGTACCTGGGGAACACCGGAGGCTGGCTCAGTTCCACGTGCCCCCCCACCTCCCAATTCCCACCCCTCCTCCATTTTCCATAGAATCAAACAGAGGAGCCTGGCGAGGGGCATGTCATCATTTTAATGATGTAGATCTTTGGTGTTTCCCTCATTAGCAGTAGACTATCCCCTCTCCTCCCACCACAATGTTTCTATGATGAGTGACAAACAGAAAGGAAATCACATTTTCATACTAAAAACAAAATGATCAGAGCCTTGATTTCTCCACTAGAAACTACACATACAGTTCAAGATTCCACATGCAACACCTTAAACCACAGACCAAGACCTCACATTCTGACCCGGAGTCTCATCCCCTCCCCCGCCTTGGGCGGGCTTTGGCCTAGGCTCAGATAATACTGACACCCACAGGTGCTACTCTGGGGGCCTTGGAGGAGGGAGGAGCTTGGTGGACAAGCCTGGGGGTGGGCCAGCCTACATCCCCCACTCCTGAATGAGGACCTGCCCACCGTCCCATGACCCCATTCTGTATCAGGAAAGCAGGCTGTCCCCTTCACCCCACAATTATTCCATACCAGGTGTGGAAAGTCCCTGCCCTCAGGAACCTGGGAGCCCAGCCTGACCCCTGACTGTGTCTCTGGATGGGATAAGATGATGGAGAGAGGCTGGAGCTCTGGAAGGCTCAGAGATGATGGTTTCTGGGGACAATGCCATTCCTCCTGTTTCTGGGCTCCTGGTGGCTCTGCCCACCTCACAGGTGGGCTGGGCAAAGCTGCCCCACTGGCCTCTGTCCAGGATGGTGTGGGCCAGGTCTGGAAGACTATTCATTCTTCTTGGGCTCCTGTCCAGGGCTGAGTCCCCTGAGCCCATGATCCTAGGAGAAAGGGGGGTTCATGGCAAAGACACCCACTTGCTCCTCCATTCACACTAGGCCCAGCAGCTTGGCTCTCCTGGACTCCAGATTCTGGAAGCTTCTAGTCCCCTGGCGCGAGCCTTGCCCACTACACTGCCTCTGACCCACTGACTAACTCCTCCTCATCCCCACCCTCTTGCTCCTCCTGTTCCCTGGTGCAGCCAGCAGTGCTTCTGTGTGTACAGTTCCCAGTCAGCTGTGAGGTCCGGCTTCTGCTCAGTGGCTAGAGGGAGGCACCAGTGCACACCATTGTCTCTACCTGTTCCGTGGCTCCCCGCTGGGGCCTGTAGCCTCCCCCCTGCTGCCACCACCTCCATCAGGAAGGTGGTTATTATTGGTCAGGTTGTAGTGCAGGCTTGGTCCCTCAGTGCTGGGAAGGGGGACAGGAATAGAGACAGGGGAGGAAGGGGGCAGGGTTGGCTGGGGTGGCTCCCGCCCAGAGGTACCAGGCTGGTCCCAGGAGGCTGTCCGGGGGCTTAGGCCTCGCTCTGTCAGTTGCCCAGGTTCTGGGAGCAGTCCCCGAGAGGTGGAGGGCTGGGGTGAGGAGGTGCGGGCGGCCCCAGACTCAGTGCCTGTCTGGGAGCTGCGGTGAATGCGGTGGCTGACGATGATGTTGTTGCCAAAGCCACCCATGGAGGCCATGGTGGTGCTCTGCTCCCGCTGCACCACAGCCGTCATGCCCCCCTCGGCCATCAGTCTCTGAATCCTGCTGAGGGCATCTTCCCCACTGGCACCGT